GATGACTGAACTTCAATGTCCCATGGAAATGTGGAAAATATCTTCAGGTTATTCTCCATAAGATGAGGAGATGAGGTATGCATGCAACTCTCCTCTCATCAGCACTGAGAAAATTCTGAAGGCGCTCATTCCTGATATGGTGTTCATTTTGGTGTATAGGCAGAGGTCTCCTCTCTTGCTTCAAGATGACACTGAGAAACAAAATATCTGGTTGAAGAGAGCACAAACATATTGAATACCAAGATACCAGCATTGTCTGATAATCCAGGGAAAACTTTACATTCTCCCTGCAACAAGATTCTGGCTGGATTCTTCATAGCCAGATCCCATCAAAGCACAAGAGATACAAACTCATACCTAGAAATGCCTACAGCAAAGCTGGGGCCTGGGTCATCTCCTTACTAGTACACATGAGAACAAAGAAATAAACACAAAAAAACCTAAACAACAAGCAAACATCATAGGCATTATGGTGAATGGCGAGGATAAGCAGAGTGTATAGAGATGTTTGCTAACGTGAACAGATCTGGTATCGGTAGTCAGAATTTCATGGTGATAACTAGAATCATCACAAATGACAGACATGGCACAATATAAACAACTCCCAATTAAGAAAATATTGTAGCCCAGTTATTATGGAACAGCAAAGAAAACTATAGCACTGAAAGATGGTGAGCCTTCGAGTGAGTAACATTGGAAGAATTATGCAGTGTGCTGCCTCCCCTCTATTAATTCTTCTGATGAGTTATCACTTTACTTAAAAAAGAACAAGACTATTTTAAATGCATAAAATCTTTGAAAAACACAAACTGGAAACTGGAATTATGTGCAGAGTGTGGTATGATAGGAAGTTGCCTATTTGCCAAATTGATTGACAAAATGCATAAATTTATTTTTGGTGCTATGGAGATTGAAACTCAAAACTTGCTGTCTGCAACACAATTACACTGTCACATGAGTCATTACTCATCTGCTTTTGTTTTTCAGGCAGGGTAGCATGATTTTACTTTAGTTGGTCTGGCAATGCACTTTCAAGTTCAGACTTTGTGTTCATCAAAATATGGAAGAATGAGTTTGGATTTTTTTTGACAACTATACACTGAATATTAAAATCAAGGATTAATTTGGTTTGGGAAAGGGTACAAGATGTTCCCTTCCTTCATGACCACTAGCCAGACACCACCCTGAACCCTATAGATTATAAACCTTTGAAGTTGAAATCCAGATAGAACTGAGACCTCTGTAACTATCATTTGTTTACACATTATACAGCCCATGGATATTTACAAACACCTTTGGGATTTCAAGGCTTTCTCTGGAAAGCCCTTAAGAATTTATTTGGCCATTAGGATGTTATTCAGAGAAACATCAGGTCTGGAACCAAGTCCCTACAAACACCATAAGTAAGGAAGTAAGGGTGAATAGCAGTTGAAAATACATTTAATGGTTACATAGATCTCAACCCCTCTCAGATCTGACCCTTTTCTCTTCCCCAGGACCAGAAACAAAACACAGTACCACTGAGGCAGTGTGGCATTGGTTTTGGTCCTGTCTTCAACTCGATTCCAAATTACAATAGGTGAAAGTCATTAGCATTAAATTAATAGCCCTCATTTCCCAAATTGCCAAATTTAGCAGTCTCATTGAAATAATTACAAATTTGCCTTCAATGTCATCCACAAGGCCTATCTTCTATCCCAACCACTTCAGGAATTTCACCCAGATATCTGTGCCTCCCACCCTCACACCTAGATCATTTGAGAAACAAAGTGATAATTAAAATGAGACACAATGCTACTAAATCTTTAAAACAGCTATCTTTTCTTCACCCTTGAAGTTGCCCAGTGCTGACCAGCTGTATGTAAAAAGTACAGATGAGCCTCTCCATTCTCCAGGTAGTAGCAGAAATTTGGACATGTAACAAAAAAGAGATACATGAGGACTAGGGATTTTGAAAGTAAGTGATTTTCTTCTGAATTTGATGTGGAATGATCAGAGGGCAATGGATATATGAATGTACTGTAGTTCTTGGATAATATGAAACTGTAAGTTCAAGTAAAAATTGTACTCATTACCTTAATCTTGTAACCAACCCCTCTGTACAGCATTTCTACAATTAAAAAATATACAAAGAAAAAGAATCTACTTTTGTAGGCTGGGAATGTGGCTTAGTGGTAGAGCAATGTAATGAGTGCATTTCCTATTGAGCATTGTTGCCTCCTCCTTGGTTTTCCCCCTACCCTCTCTTCCTTCCCACCTCCACAAAAGTAAATTCTTAAAAGTCAGCAGCTGGTCAGGTACTGATGACTCACATCAGTAATCCTAGCTACTCAGGAGGTTGAAATCTGAGGATCACGGTTTGAGGCCAGCCTAGGCAGGAAAGTCCATGAAACTCTTATCTCCAATTAATAACCAGAAAACTAGAAGTGGTACTTTGGCTCAATGTGATAGAGTGCTAGCCTTGAGCAAAAGGATTCAGGGACAGTGCCTGGGCCATGAATTCAAGCCCCATGACTGACAGAAAAAAAAATCAATAGCTTTTAAATGTTGATTTAAAACTTTATCTGCTTAAATTTTCTGGCATTAAAGGTCATTTTTAGCTTAGGGTGGGGACTCATTCCTACAGGTTGCTTCCAACTTTGGGGTTCAAAGCTCTCAGGCCATGTGATTCTAGATTAAATGCATTAGGATGTTTTTTTGTTTTTTGTTTTCCTATTTTGTTTGTTTGTTTTTACCAGGCTGGGGCTTGAACTCTGGGCCTGGATGCTAACCCTGAGTTTTTTTTTTGCTCAAGGCTTGTACTCTCCACTTGAGGTACAGTATTACTTCTAGCTTTTTCTTAGTAGCTTATTGGAGATAAGAGTTCCACGGACTTTCCTGCCAGGTCTAGCTTTGAACCACGATTCTCAGATCTCAGCCTCCTTAGTAGCTAGGATTACTCGCATGAACCACTGGCACCCAGCTAAGCATTAAAAGTTGGTGTTTAAAAGGTTAACAAGAAGCTGGCACTAGTAACTCACTGATATAATCCTAGCTACTCAGGAGGATGAGAACTGAGGATAGAAGTTTGAAGCCAGCCCAGGTAGCAAGGTCCATAGGACTCTTATTTCCAATTAATCAGCAAAAAGCTGGAAGTGGCTCTGTGGCTCAAGTGGCTTGAGCAAATAAGCCAAGTGTGAGAAGCCCTAAGTTCAAGCTTAAGTATCAACACATACACAACACACACACACACACATACACAAATAAAAACTACAAAAAAGCTTGGTAAGAGTCAACCTGTGTCATTCTGTGTTATGACACAGATTGTCACAATAACTTTGAGTATCACTTAGTTCTAATTTTTATAAAAAGGACCAATATTTAAAAGGATCAATTTAAAAATACAGCACATGGGGACTTAGTAAAAAATATGTTATGAACTAAGAACAAAATGAACAAAATAAACTGTTTCTGATCATCGGCTTTCATTGTTATAATATAAATATGGTGCTTTATTTATAAGATTATTTCTTTGTTGCTTTGTATGTCCCTCCCCCACAGTATAACCCCTGCTTTCACTGTATTTGATGTCAGTATAATTTGTGGAGGGGAAGGGGAAAAACAAGTCGTTTAAATAAGGATACAGCTGGAGCCTTTGCAACAATGAGAAGTACAAGTTATGTCGAAAACGAACTTTACTACTTTGGGAGGAGGGTGCGGGGAGGATTGGGTGGGGCAGGGAGGATGGGAAGGAATGGGAAGGGGAAACAAGGGAGGAGGCTACAATGATTGATGGGAAGTGTACTCATTGTCTTGTCCATGTAATTGTGACCCCTCTGTACAGTATTTTCACAATAAAAAATAAATAAAAATTAAAAAAATTATACGTGGTGATGTGGCAAATCACAAAAATTTAAGAAATTTTGGACATTCTGGTAGCAACATGCTTTTGCTTCAGCCCTCTAGCCATCTAACCACAGGACATGCTGACTAAAACCCCTGATATAGTTGTTTTCTCTTGCTTTGAATTTTTTCCTATGTAGTAAAATTTTCCTTTATGCAATAAAGTCAGTAAGGAAGAGTTGGACTCAGCCTTAATAGCTGCTCTGGGGAAGAATCACATCTTACTTTGTATATATGTGTGTATTAGAAAAGCCTAAAGTATGAATAACTTGAAAATTTAACAGCTTATATATCTCTTTCTATGTCAATGAGATACTAAATGCATAGAGATATTAAACCAGAAAAATATCCACAAATTCTGTTCTTTCCATATCTTCACTTCTCTGCATGTTCTAAATATGAAGCACTCAATTATTGCTTTACTGTTCTCCCTTTCATGTGTCATAATATAAAGATTGAAAAACTAAAGAGAAATGGTCATCATCCCTGAATGCACCAAAAGATCTATTCAAAGGACAGTAGGTTCATCACAGCTCTGCTGTATGCTTGAAACACTTTCTCTGGGCTAAACTAACATATCTGGGCACCGTGGAAATATGAGGATTTCCTGGGTTGAGCTGGTCCTATAGCTATTCCCAGTTTTACCCAGCTTTTCTCATTTGCATATGCTCAGAGCACTGCCTACTGCCACAATGACTTCATAATAGGCTGCTCACACCCTATGCAGCAGTCAGTCCCAGTCAGCACACAGCATGGACATGATGACTCCTGCTCAGCTCCTGGGGCTCCTGCTGCTCTGGCTCCCAGGTAAAGAAGGACAGCACTCATCCCATCCTGTGTGTTCAGTGCTGCCTAGGTCTTCAGGAAAGGCCTCCTATAACATGAATAACAGTGTGGACATTTGTGTTTCTATTTCCAATGCCAGGTTTCAGATGTGACATCCAGATGACCCAGTCTCCATCCTTCCTGTCTGCATCTCCAGGAGACAGTGTCTCCTACACTTGCCATTCCAGTCAGGCCATTAGCAATGATTTACAGTGGTATCAGCAGAAACCAGGCAATGCTCCAAAGCTTCTGATCTATAATGCAAATAGTTTATTCTTTGGAATTCCATCAAGGTTCAGTGGGAGTCAATCTGGGACAGAGTTCACTCTCACCATCAGCAGCCTGCAGCCTGAGGATTTTGCCACTTATTACTGTCAACAGGATAGTAGTTACCCTCCCACAGTGCTACAAGCCATAACAAAAACCTCCCAGGGAAGCAGAAGTGAGAGGCTGGGCTGCCCAGCTGCTCCTCCTGGTGCTTCCATCTATGATAGAGCTTCTCAGGTGTAGCACAGCTATGAACACTTTCGAAGTTTTTCATTGAAATGTGAAGGCTCCTTTGAATCTTTGTCCTTTTTCTCCTCCTCTGTCCCAGAAGCACAAACATGACCATGTCTCTTCTCACACAAGGTTATCCTTTCTGATTCACACAGTAAAACAAAAGCCAGACAAGAATCTCTAAGAAGGACTTGTTTTAATACAGGAAATGTGTCTAATCATTCTTAACTCCTGGGTCATCAGAGAAGTTGGAAGGATCAATGAGACATTCTCTGGTTCAGTGAGGCTGTCCTAGGGTTTTGAGCACATAATCCTGTGATTCTCCACCTTGTGGAAAAAGCCAGGGTGAGCGGCTGGTGCTCTTACCTGACCCAACTGTCTCTCCAGGAGAATTCTCCAGGCCTCACTTCTGATCACATGTCAGCCTGCTTATGTCAAGAATTATACAAGTCTCTCCAGTTCACCAAATCTAATCAAGAGATGACTTTATGATATACTCTTCAGGAAACAAATGAAGGAACAGGAATTTTAGCTTGCACACACAATTATAATGATCATAATGATGGAATGACATAACTGTCAACCATGGTCACTTTCCCCCATCTGCAGAAATAGTCCACCTAACTGATAGCTTTAAAACTCACTTAAATTTGATTGTAAGTTGTTTCTACCAATCTGGGAATATGAACTTTTAAAAAAAATAACAAACTTCATTAATTCTTTGGCAAGAAAATATCAGAAGCTGGAAATTGTATGAAATATCACAAGTTGTTCATGATCTTACACAGCAACAAACAACTGAAATAATTTCTTGATAAAGCAAATCAGATGCAAAACAATATTACAACACAAAAAGAGGAAAATACATTACTTGGGTTAAGATTTCTTTTCCTTATATGTGCTAGTTACTCAAACATGCAATCCTTGCTCCTCAGGAAGCTGAGATCTGAGGATTGTGGTTCAAAGTCAGCATGTGCAGGAAAGCCCTTGAGACTCTTATCTCCAATAAATCAGCGGAAATCCAGAGGTGGCTCTGTGGCTCAAGTGGTAGAGTGTGTGCCTTGAGCTGAAGAGCTGAGGGACAGTGCCCAGGCCCAGAGTTCAAGCCCCACAACAAAAAAAAAAGAAAGGAAAGGGAAGAGAAGGAAAGGGAAGGGAAGGGAAGGGAAGGGAAGGGAAAAGAAGGGAAGGGAAGGGAAGGGAAGGGAAGGGAAAGAAGGTGGAAAGGAAAGGAGAGAAAGTAAGAAAAGTTTCAATGCATAAGAACTTCATGAAGAAAACACAGGTATTTTTTTCCAGGAAGAATTCTTGAGATTGAATAAAAGATCTAAGTAGATACAAGAATGTTTCAATATATTTATGAAATATTCTATTACATCTGTTGCTTCTGTGCATTATACATTTTGAAAATAGTCATAAAATTGTCTTCTACCATCAAATCATCTCCACATACTCTGCAGGCATATACATGTTCCTCATTTCTTTTTACAGATAACCCTACTATATTAAAGGCAATAGAATTGGAGCTGATGCTCAACTGGTACAGTACTAATTGAGGGACAACACCCAGACCCTGAGTTCAAGACCCACTTCCAAACACAGCAGTAAAAAATACAATCATGGAGCTGGGCGCATGTGGCTCAGGTATATAATCCAAGCTACTCAGGAGGCTGAGATTAGAGGTTCACTATTCAAAGGAAGTCCAGGCAGGAAAGTCCAGGATACTCTTATCTCCAATCAACCAGAAAACAGGAAGTGTTAGAGTGCTTGCCTTGAGCTGAAGACCTGAAGAGCATAAGGACAGTGTCCAGGCCAAGTGTTCAAGCCCCACAACTAACAAAAATAATACAATCATGTAATTTTATTTTATTTTATTTATTTTTTGGTCCAGTCTTGGGGTCTGTACTCTGGGACTGGGCGCTGTCCCTCAGCTCTTCAGCTCAAGGCTAGAGCTCTACCACTTGCCCCACAGTGCCACTTCTGGCTTTTTTTCTTTTTGCTTATGTGGTGCTGAGGAATTGAACCCTGGGCCTCATGAATGCAAGGGAAGAACTCTACCAATAAGCCACCTTCCCCCAATCATGTAATTTTAAAAGAACTTTACAATTTAACTTTCTCAAAATATTGTCCTTGAGAGAAGGAGGAGGGAGAAAGTGCGAAGGAGGATTCGGAATAAGAGGTAGAGGAGAACAGGATGAAATTCTCCCTTTCCTAAGACAAATTTTGACAATGTGCAGAGGAGACCATAGGCTGAAAAATTTGAGTATGCATGTTCAAAGTCAGAGGAAGTTATTATAAAGTAAGCTGAAGATTGGAAGACATGTGAAACAATGAAAAAACAGGACTCTAACCAACCATTGCAATAGGTGAAGTGGCATGAAACACACAAATATACTGTGAAGCTGGTCAGATTGGTAGTACTGGGGTTGGAACCTCAAGGTCTTTGATCCATTTGGAGTGGATTCTGGTTCAGAGTGATATATAAGGACTTAAATTCAGTTTTCATGTTTCTACACATGTATAGCCTATTCTGACAGCACCATTTGTTGAAGAGACTGTCATTCTTCCATCCTTTGTTTTTGGCTACCTTACCAAAGATTAAGTGGCTATGGGTCTGTGAGTTCCTTCAATTCTATTCCATTGTTCTACAAACCTGTTCATGTGCCAGTACCAAGCTGTATTTGTATATACAGCTTTATAATAGTGTTTGAAGTTTGGTATTGATATTCCTCCAGCAGTGTTCTTCCTGCTAAGAATTGCTTTAGCTCTTCAGGTTTTCTATTATTCCACATGAGTTTTTGGATTGCTGCTTCTTGTTGATTGAAAAATGTTTTTGGGATTTTGATGGGTATCACATTGAATTTTAGATAGATCATGGCATATTGCCATTTTCACAATGTTAATCCTCTCAGTCTTCTATTATGAAGAGGAGTAGAGAGAGCAGACCAGCTTGCCATAACCTTTTGAGGAAATAGTTTTCACTTTTCACCATTTAGTATAATGCTGGCTGTAGGTTTGTTATATATAGACTTTATTATACTGAGGAATGTTCCATGATTTCCTAGTTTCTCCAAAGCTTTATCCATAAAGGCCCATCCACAAGTTTTATAGTTCATTTTGAACATAGTGTCCATGAGTACCATTGCTGCCTTGTTCACCTTTTGTGCCTACATTTCTGGGACTCTCCTTACCCTCCCAAGACATATGAACTAACAAACAAACAAGAAAACAAAACCAATAATAAAGAAAATATATCTTCTTTCCATTGTTTTGAGTTACTTTTGATAAATGTTATTTTCTTTTTTTTTAAATTTTATTTTATTTTATTTGAGAACATACTGTACAGAGGGGTTACAATTACATGGGCAGGATAATGCATACATTTCTTACCAAGCATTGCAGCCTCCTCCTTTGTTTACCCTTCACCTGCCTTCCCAGCCTCCCCTCTCCCCCCCCACCCAATCATACCCCCCCCACCGACATTGTAAAGCTGGTTTTGACATGACATTTTGTACTTCTCATTGTTGCAACAGGTCCACCTGAATCCTTAACGACTTGTTTGTCCCCGTCTCCTCCACATGTTATACTGACATCAAATATAGTGAAAGCAGGGGTTACACTGTGGGGGAGGGACATACAAAGCAACAAAGAAATAATCTTATAAATGCGTTAGAAACACATGCATGAAAGAAACAAAAACATTAAAATACATATTTGAGGGTTCGTTTTCCTAACATCACATTATCTGTCTTTTTCCGCTTGACTCATACCTATACTAGATATTGCAAATAAGGGAAACCATGGGACCTATGTTTCTTTGGGCCTGGCTTACTTCACTTAATATAATTTTTTCCAAGCCTTTCCATTTCCTAACAAATGGGGAAATGTCATTCTTTCTGATGGAGGCATAGAATTCCATTGTGTATATATACCACATTTTCTTGATCCATTCATCTACTGAGGGGCATCTGGGTTGCTTCAATATCTTAGCTATGGTAAATAATGCTGCAATAAACATAGTTGTGCTGGTAGCTTTAGTGTGGTCTTTTTTGTAAACATTAGGGTAAATGCCCAAAAGTGGGATTGCTGGGTCATAGGGGAGTTCTATGTGAAGTCTTTTGAGGAACCTCCATACTGCTTTCCAAAGTGGTTTAACAAGTTTACATTCCCACCAACCATGAAGTAAGGTTCCTTTCTGTCCACATCCCCTCCAGCATCTGTTGTTGTTAGAGTTCTTGATTTTTGCTGTTCTAACTGGAGTGAGGTGATATCTCAATGTTGTTTTGATTTGCATTTCTTTTATTTCTAGGGATGTTGAACATTTCTTCATGTGTCTATTGGCCATCCGTCTTTCTTCTTCAGAGAAGCTTCTCTTTAAGTCTTTCGCCCACTTACTTATTGGGCAGTTGTTTCTTTGAGGATTTGTTGTTGGGGGGTTTAATTTTTTGAGTTCCAAGTATATTTTAGATATGAGACCCTTGTCCGTTGTATGGCTAGTAAAGATCTTCTCCCAATCCGTGGGCTTTCTATTGATCTTGCTAGCTATGTCATTTGCCCTGCAGAAGCTCTGCAACCTTATGCAATCCCATTTGTCCAGCCTTTCTTTGATTTGTTGTGTTTCCGGGTCTCTATTCAGAAAATTTCGGCCTGAGCCAAGGAGACCCAGGGTTTCTCCTATTCCATCCTGTAATGTTTTCAGAGTGTCTGCTTTGAGTTCAAGGTCTTTGATCCATTTGGAGTTGATTCTGGTGCAGGGTGATATATAAGGATCTAGCTTAATTTTCTACATGTAGTTAACCAGTTTTGCCAGCACCAGATAAATGTTATTTTCTATGGTCAGAAATAAGGGTACAGGATGACCATTGTAACACGAGATGTACAAAACAGTTTGTTGAAAATGAACTTTAAAACAGAGCTGGAGGGGTGGGAGGTGTTGGGGAGGTAGGGAGGAAAGGGATGGTAGGGGAAAAACAAAGAAGGGGGTAACAATGCTGGATAAGAAATGAGCTCAT